CTCTCTCTCTCTCTCTCTCTCTCTCTCTCTCTCTCTTGTGCTTTGGAAAACAGGTTGTCCCCCTCCTCTCTGGGGCAGCCCCTCAAATATTGGAAGATGCTCTCCTGTTTCACCTGGTCCTTCTCTCCGCTAGATCAGCCATGCCCCGTTCCTGCAACCGTCCGTTGTATGTTTTAGCCTCTGGTCCCCTAATCCTCTTGGTTGCTCTTCTCTGCGCTCTTTCTAGAGTCTCAAGCATCTTTTTTTATAGTGTGGGGACGAAAACTGGACGCGGTACTCTAGGTGTACTGCCTTACTAAGGCTTCGCAGAGTGGTATTAGTACCTCCCTTAGGTCTTGATTGTCTCCGTTAACGCAGTCTAGGATTGCGTTGGCTTTTTTGACCTCCTATTTCGCTGGTTGTCCACTAAGGCCTCTCATAGTGACCGCTATTAAGCGAGGTTTTACCCAACCTTTTCCTGCAGGTGAAGACGCGGGACGAGTCGCGCGGGGTGGGCCGGATCAGCAAGCAGTGGAGCGGCCTCCTTAAGGAGGTCTTTACCGACACGGACAATTTCGGGATCCAGTTCCCCATCGATCTGGACGTGAAGGTCAAGGCGATTCTGATGGGCGCCTGCTTCCTCATTGTGAGTCCGGCTCCGGGGTCAAGGAATAAGATCTGGGGTGGGGGGGATCCACTTTCCCTACGCCTCTCCCCTCCCGAGACCGCCTGGCACTTCACTCCAACAACTTCTGATTTATTTTGCCTTTCTTTCGCAGGATTTTATGTTTTTCGAAAAGACGGGCGAAGTTGGACAGAGGACCTCTGTGCTGTCCAGCTGAAATCATCTCAAAATTGGGGGGATAGTTTTCCTGGGTCTGACCTAACGGGGAGAGAGAGAGAGTGTGTGTGTGTTTTTGTGTGTGTAGAGGGTATGTGTATATGTGTGTGTTTGGGTCTGACCACGATGGTTTCTTAGTTAGGATTGTCTTCTCTTCCCGGTTTGTCTCCCGTTCGTTGCGCAGAGGCGCCTCACAGTTGGAAGGGACCTGGTAGGTCATCTAGTCCAACCCCGCCCCCTCCCCGCTCTTCCCGAGCAGACCCTACAGCAGTTTTGACAGACGGCAAGGCTGCCCAGCTGGAAGGTTCTCCCAAGTGTCCAAAAAAACTGGTCATCTTATCCTCATTGCTCCGGTGCCCGAAAGCTGTTGTGGGTTTTGCACTCCTGCGCAAACCTTGTTAAGACTCCGTCCTGCGCTGAGCTCTTTATCGGTCGTCCTCAGGCTAGGGATTATGGGACTTGAAGTCCAGCTCTGTGAAGGAGAGAAGGAGGTTGGGGAACGTGTTGGGGTTAGAGGGGTGCAGGGAGCAAGGCTATCTTAAGAGTCTTGTCAAAAAAAAAAAAATCAGAACGGTGGATTATTGTCTAACCAAAACTTTGCACGTAAAACCCGGCAGCCTTAATCCTTAAGAATTTCTCCATTTCAGCAAGTTTAAGATGTACGGACTTCAATTCCCAGAATTCCCCTGCCAACCTAAGAATTATGGACTTAGTAGATCGGGGATATGCTTGCAGACATAGTTTATCCAAAGACTGGATTTCTAGCAAGTATCCTTTATAAATGACTAGCTGGCGATCAGGCGTTGCCTGGATATTTATAGACGTTGAAGCCTTTGTCTAAACAGGGAGCCATGGAGAGGGGCCTTTCTTCCCCCTACTCCCATGCCCATCATCCCTGCCCCTCTCCCTTCCCCCTCCCATGCGCTCCTCTTTGCCGCCCTCTCTACAGTCCTGGCCCTTTGCCCCCAATCCATCAGGCGCTTCCCCATTCGTCCACTGGAGGGAGAATGTCCCGGCTGGCTTTCCAGAGGAAGCTGCGAAGGAAGTGACATCACAAACAATTGCCACTCTAGGATGCCGCACTCGCTCTGCTTAACGGCCCAGGCTCTCCTCCCTCCCTCCCATGACATCACAAACAATTGCTGCTCTAGGATGCCACACTCATTCTGCTTCCCAGGCTCTCCCTCCTCCCTCCCATGACATCGCAAACAATTGCCGCTCTAGGACGCCGCACTAGCTCTCCTTAGCGGGCCAGGCGTTCCAGAGTTATGCAGGAACACACCCAGTTTGGCTCAAATTGCTCAAGGCAAAGAAGAAGATAACATATCTGGCTAGGGGAATTCTGGGAGTTGAAGTCCACAGATCTTAAAGGTGCCCAGTTTGAACACGACAGCCTTCAGATGAAGGTTTATTCCTTGGGTGTGGATTGAGTCATTCCCAGGGATGGGTGTCTGTGCCCCACAGATTACCCAGACCTCCAAGCAGAGGGGCTGGTGGGGGGAACAGTGAAGAAACACACACACACACACATCAGAGAGATGTGCCAGGCAGATAATTAATAGAAGGACACTTGGCAGAATAAATATAATTATATATTGGCAGCTGTGCTGAAAAATCCGAGTGGAGAAAAAGAATAATCTTTGCTTGTTAAAAGAAAAACAAAACAAGCCATCTTTGGTTTAACAAAGGCTCTGTTGTTGGACTCAAATCAGATGATGGCAAGACAAGGAGCCGAGCGGCTTGGGGGCCTCAAGCTTGGAAACCAAGCACATCTGGAGACATCTGTCTGTCTCAATTGCTGATTCACCGTTCTTTATTTTTTTTAATGGGATGACACGGGACGTGGTCGGACTTGTTTTTGCCAACGTGGTGCCCTGGGGCGATAGGCTGGGCTGCTGCCCCGAGAGGCATGGGCGTTGTAGTCTTCAGCCGATCGCGAAGGGGAGCGACTGGGATGACGCTTTATGGGTGTGTGAGTCTTGTCTGGATGATGTCCGGTGGGTGTTGGCGGGTGTCGGCATGGAACGGACTGGTTGGCACGAAGGACGAAGCATGATCTTCAGCCAACCGTTTTGGCGTTTTGACTCTCTCCGGCGCAAATTTGTAGATAATTTTGCTTTCCGAACTGGGATTTTAATTCCTTGGCAAGGCATGGATGTTTGCAACGTTTGTTGGTGCCACGTTGCCTTAACCACTAAACTAGCAAGACCCCCCTCCCTGCTTTTGAGGACTGTTAGGGTCTCACCAACATCAGGTCAGGGTTGGGGGTCACGGCAAGGCAAAACCTCCCTTTTTTCCCTTCCCGAATTTTCAGTGTCTTGTATAATATTAATATTCGGTGTCTTTTTCTGTACTGTATTTAAATACCAAATGTTTTGGGGCAGGATGGGGTGAATTTGTACCTCACAACTCTCGCATTTTGACTGTGGAGAAAGGATCCGTTGCTGGGAGGAAAAAAAAAAAGCAAAGATGGACGCTTGCTTGGACAAATTTAAGTCTCCGAGTTTGGGGTTCCAATTTGGGTCATCTTCTCCGACCGGTGGCACGGGTGATGGGTTTTGTAGTTCCCACTCCTCGTGTGGAGGGAGGCTCGGAGCTAGTTTTGGGAGGTCAAGCGCACTGCAACACCCCCCCTTCCTTTGCAAGGATGCCCTTTTGGGTCCCGCGGACGAAGGAACTTTTGAGTTTCCAAGCTGAACCAAAAAAATGAATAAATATGTTAATTTGCTAATTTTTTTCCTCTTTGGTGGATTAATTGTTGATTTCATTGGGTTGATAACTCACATCTCTCGATGCGAGAGTGGGCGCCAATGCAAAATATTCCTCCACTTGCAACCATTCGCTTAACGACCCAAAGTGGGGGGAATGACTTACGATCTCGTTTCACACTGAGGACCGTTCCCACATCCCCGTTGGTCACGACGTCAAAAATCCAGACTTGGAAACCGACTCATATGTATGGCCGTTTTTCACACTTATGACCAATTGCCACATCGCATCCCCTGGTCCCGTCATCAAAATTGGAAACTGACTCGTATTTATGACGGTGGCAGTGTCCTGCGATCAGGGAATCTGCTTTTGCGAACCTTCCGACGAGCGAAGTCAACGGGGAATCCGGATTCACTTAACAACGGTGGAAGGGAAAGGACGTTAAGATGGGGCG